GGCTTAGTTGGTTAAGCGTCCGACTTTCGCTTAGGTCATGATCTCGCGGTTCGTGGGTTCGAGCCCCGCGTCGGGCTCTGTGCTGACTGCCAGCTCAGAGCCTGGAGCGTGTTTCAGAGTCTGTGACTCCCTCTCTTTCTGACCCTCCCCTGCTCACACTGTCTCTCTCTCTCTCTCTCTCCTAGAAATAAATAAAAAAACAAAAACAAAAAAACAAAAACAAAAACAAAAAAAAGAAATACAGATGCAATGGAAGGAAATGGATTCTAATCAAACATCCTCTCAGCAGGTGGTAAGAAAAAAATAATTTGCATCTCTTTGGAAGAAGAACTGTCCTGAATTGTAAAGGTTGTGGAAATTGACAACTTTTTACATTTTTAAATGTTTTATTTTTGAGAGACGGAGAGGGAGAGGGAGAGAGACAGACAGACAGACAGGGGAGAGACAGAGAGGGAGACACAGAATCCAAAGCAGGCTCCAGGGGTCGGGCTGTCAGCATAGAGCCTGACATGGGGCTCGAGCTCACCAACTGTGGGATCATGACCTGAACTGAAGTTGGAAGCTTAACCAACTGAGCCATCTGAAATTGGCACCCTGAAATCAACAACTTCCTAAAGCAACCAAGGATTGGGTTAAACTTTATAAGGTTGTATTTATGAACAACTGATGTAATAAGACAAATTTTTAAATTTGTGCTTGACTGAATTCTTCCTGTTTTTAACGGATTAATATTGAAGGGGATTTCCCATGTAAAAAAAATTTGGTCTAAAACATCACTTGTGGAGATAATATAATTAAGGCCACAGTAGTCTGTTTCAGAATCAAAATTTTAAAGGAAAATAGTTCTTATTAAAGTTGCTCAATAAGTCCATATTCTGGAATCCCAGTCCTCTGTTCTAGAACCTGTGTGTGGCCATGGTCTAGAGCCCCCAGTGGGATATGTATCCCAGGAACCTCCAGAGACGTAAATGCAGATTCTCAAGAGCAATCTACACCTTCACCTCTATCCCAAGGATGGCCTTCCTTACAAGTTTAAAAGTGGACAGTTGGGACCTGGAGCCATGGTAAAGGTAAGCAGTTTTTCCAGAGGTTTAATCTTGCCCTGAATAGTTGGTCCCTCATTTGCAGCTTTTGGTAGAAGAATGGAGTCTCTCCCTTGGCTGGACTTCAACTAAGAATTCAGAGGGCTGTTTGTGTCCCTGCTCTGGTTAGTCTATTCTTTCAAGCTATTCTTTGCCAGGCTTTATGCTATGAAAAGAGGGAACTGCTCTCCAGAGGAATGACAGGTACTTTGAGAAAATGATTCTTATTTCTGGGCTCAGGAAACTGTCCTCAAATCAGGCCTACCTGGTCCCCTTAAGGGCAGGGAAGATGAGCTGCTCAAAGATGCAGAAACCTGCTCTTTCATTTCTGTCTGCTTTCCAGGCCAGACGCTGTGTAGAGGCTGAGAGGCTGAGCTGCCCCAGGGCCTTTGACCTGCTCGTGGGGCAAAGCCCAGAATGGGCATAGCCCACTGTGCAGCCAGGACGACAGTCCCCTGTCCAAGGTGTGCAGTGGAGTGCTGATGCATCCCTGGCATTCACTGTGAGCCAGGAATTAGAAAAATAATTTATAACATAGGAAAGGATGCAAGGATGCTGTGTCTTAAAGTGTCTTCAGGTAATGTGCTGAGTAGTGTATGGTAGAAAAGGGCTTTGCAGCAAAATTCTGTGAATTGTAAGGTGAAAACAAGTCCTGCATGGTCTAAGACGGGGCTGCCCTGTAGAACTTCCTGTGGTGATGGAAATTTCTATATGTGCACCATTCTGTATGGTAGCCACTAGACAAATGTGGTTATTTAACATTTGACATGTAGCTAGACACTAAGGAATGGAACTTTAAATTTAAATGGCTACATGTGGTTTGTCACTAGTGTGCTGGAGGGCATGGATATGAGAGAAAACACCTTTGTATATATACACTTTATCACCATTTTACTCATTTCACTTTATAAAGGAAGATTTTTGTAAAATTTGTGTATGAAACTGCTTTGAACTTCAAACAGTGTCTACAGATCTAGGTCTACTCACTGTCCATGTTGTGTTCTGAGCCTCGGCACTTCTTGTCCTCAGAGAATGCCATGTGATTGGTACCCAGCAGGATCCCCTGATGGAGCTGCCTGGATGTGGGCTCTCCTCTGGGTCCACGTCAGGGCTGTGCGTACGACTGTCACACGTGCTGTGGCCCAACACACCCATCTCTGACAACCGCTAAACCCACTGTGCAAGGAAGCTTTATAAAGCACTGCTTCAGTTCCTGTGGTGGTGTTACCCTGTCGTGCTCTGGCTGGTCCTCACTACTGCATTTCACCCGCATCATCTGGGAAGTCTGCTCACAACAGATTTTACCCGTGTCAAACTAGCCGGTTGGATATTGAAGACCACCAGTGAGATGGTCCCTCATGCCGTGTGCCACGTGTACCAAGGGTGGGTACTGGGCAAGGCCTGGGTGCTAGGTGCCGTAAAAAAATGTGAGAATGGGTAATCACAAAGACTACATTTCTGAAACTACAAATCAAGGCACATTGTCTGGTAAAAGATTTTGGGCCAGTGGCAGTGCGTGGCAAGAGGCAATCTAGGAGATACTGTTTGGATGCCAAAACATGTGCAGGATCAGCAACAGATTTTGCGACAGCCAGGTCTTCTGACAGAGGCGGTCTATGAGCTGAACAGGAGGGTCCTGCCTCTAAAGTAGTAGCTGCCTCTTCACAATTTGCATAAACATTGAAATTAACAGCTGCACATTTTTTTTTTTAACTTGCTTTGCTTGGTTGTCTGTTCCTCCTGGGTTTAAATATGAGGGAACTCAGAATTTTTTAGCACAAAATTATGCATTAACTGAAGTTCAATCCTTTAATGGTTCATGGAGTTCCACGCCAAACAGCATGGCTTCCCACAGTAACACACAGTCCCTGTCTCCACAACCACTGAAGACAGAGGCAACCAGGCAAGATGACCCAAGATTACTTGAGTGGTACTGGCCTGCGGTGTTCCATCCCAGAGCGGGCTCTTCTGGTGGACTAGGGCTCCCTGGAAAGCTTGCAGGTGAAGGAGCCTGGAGCAGGGCCTTGGGAGGAAGAGCAAGGACATCTGGCCAGCACTGGCAGGTAGGAAACTCTACAGTCAGGGAAGGAGAACCATGCTGGTGTTTTGGAAGGAGAGTGAGTGAATGAGGCGGCAGAGCCAGATGGCTCATGTAGAAAGTCCATGGCTGCAAAGAAAGGTTGGAGTCACATTATAAAGGAAGATGGGAAAAAGGAGGCTATTCTGAGTTCTCACCTACTAGCTGGTTTAATCTTCACAGCAGCTCCACCATGGAGGCGGTAGATTAGCCAGGGAATGCTTAGCTAGAAAAACAATGCAGTCTGGGTTAGCTTAAACCAAAGTAGAAAATGTATCATAAGACCCCAAGGATTAAAGTGTAGTCAAGTTAAATTGGTACCTGTTCACTGTCCAGTCACTTGCGATCAGGGGAAGGGGGCGGGGCGGGGGCGGGACTGAGTTCTATATAAATGTGGCTACTAGAGATGCTATGCGTGAGTGGGTACTGAATAGAAAACAGAATATGGAACTGTTAAAATGTAATGCAAAACACTGTAACTTAGAATTATGTAAAAAAATTAGGGGCGCCTGGGTGGCTTAGTCGGTTAAGCATCTGATTTTCGCTTAGGTCATGATCTCGCGGTTCGTGGGTTCGAGCCCCGCGTCGGGCTCTGTGCTGACTGCCAGCTCAGAGCCTGGAGCCTGTTTCAGTCTGTGACTCCCTCTCTCTCTGACCCTTCCCTGCTCACTCTGTCTCTCTCTCTCTCTCCTAAAAATAAATAAAAAACATTAAAAAAAATATGTAAAAAAATTAAAATTGGAAGGGTAAAGACCAGATATATAGATAAAATGTGCTTGGTCATAAGAATTGCTGAGGCCGAGTGATACATACACGGGATTCATTATTCTGCAGATCTTTATAAATGTTTAAAATTCTCCTTAATAAAATTTTTGAAAAATACATATGTTCGCACACGGTCCCTTGGTCTTTCTGTTCCAATCACTGTATGTGCTTTTGATTACTAGATTACAAACAGACTTAGAGTTCTCTTCCATGCAATGAAGACACAACCACCTAGACCCATTAAGTAGAAAGTTTCGGACTTGGTAAGCATTATTGTCACAACTGCAGTTGACTAAAGTCCTGATGACTGGAATATTTCCTTGAAATTCTGATTTAGTGGGTCTGGAATGGGATTTGAGTATATCATTTCCTACACACAACTCCAGTGACACTGATACATGTTCAAGTTTGGGGAGCACAGCTTCAAGGGATTCTATGGATAAGTATGTGCAAGTCATAATAGCCTTCGCTTGGGTCTTTCCCTGCTGTAGGACTCAAGCAGCACGATAATGTGGCACTTTAAGCACAATCTTAACCACACCAATACATCAAGAGGCATTCTGCCATTCATTCTCATTTTGCGATTCCAGCATAGTGTCTTTTTCTTGGGCAACTTATTTATAGTAGAGCCTACTGCCATTTTAATTGCTTTTGCTTCAAAACATAAATCTCACGGGTTTTTTCCCCCATGTAGTGCACTCTAGTTACATGTTGTCTGAAGTCTTTCCCCAGGAGTGCTCCCTCCTTCATCAGGGCAGCGTCACGGGTGTGTGACTGGAGAAGTCACAGAGGGCCCCGCACTCAATGGGCCTCCCCCTTGGTTTAATGCTCTCCTGTCACTGTGTGAAGTTCTTAATGTTGTTTCTGAACTTGTGTTCTGTGAGTGAAGTCTCATGCAGAGTGTATCCATTGTTGCTCACCAACCCACTCAGAGCTTCGTGATGCCTGTGCACACAGAATTCTAACAGACCTGTGATGCAGGATTTGCCACGCTTTTCTATTTGAACACAGAAAAGAAGGTAAAAGCATTCTAAGAAGTATGAATGACCATGTCATAATCTTTTTTTACTTAAGTAAAGTTACTTGTTTTTTAAGTTTTTATTTTACTCATGCCATTAGTTAGCCCTTTACATACTTCATTAGCCATCCACTTATGCTGAAAATGATGACGTAGGAAAAAAAGAGCCTAGGGCAGCCCATCGTTCTTCTTTTAGTCCTTCCTTACTCATGAGTATGCTGAAAGAGTGCCAACAGAATGTGTATGTATCAAGAAGTGAGCTAATAGTTGAGCTGTTTTTTGTTTTGTTTTGCAGTGTTTCCAGTGTTCTAGTAAGGACAAAATGCATATACAAATGATATGTGCACATAAACTATGAAATATGAATTATCTAATTTTGGTGACTCTGTGTGAGTTCACTGCCCTTCTAGTTGTAGTTTAAAACTGTAATTGCATCATATAAAGATAAATAAAATTAGTGTTAATAATTTAGAATTTCCATTTTTCATTACTTAGAACAGTATTAAGTAGCAAATAAACCCACTGTAACAAGATGTGAGAGACCACAGAAGGAAGAAAGAACATTTTAATACCATTAATGGTACCATTTTCCTAATTTCTGGACAGGAGGCCCCACATCTTCATTTTGTCCTGGGTCCTACACATCACGTGCTCTCCTTTGCTTATCAGATCCCACCCTGCTCTGAGGGCTCCTGCTGAGGTGAAGGGCGCCCGTGCCCTCCCGGGTCTGCCGCCTCACCTGTGGAAGCTAGAGGGGCCAGGCCTGACTTCGAAGTATCTGGGGGGAACCACAAGCACCAGAGGAAAGCGCTTGCCACAGGAGAGGACAGGACTTCGCAGCCCCCTGCCGACCCTGACCTGACTTGGAGCAGCAGCCACAGGCTGGAATCACTTATCTGGTGCTACTGCTTCTCCTTCTGGTTTGATTGGTTTTGGAAGAAACATACTTCTAAGATGACTAAACCTTGAGCTCTCATTCTTGACATCTCGGTCCCTCTTGGTCCCTTTCTGCCGCTCCATGAATTGTTGGAAGCGGTGAGAAGGCAGATCAGGTGGAAAGGTCTTGTCCACAGTGCTTTTATCAAAATTCTTTATGAAGAGCCATGTAAACAATACTTGGGAGTTTGTTTTTTGTTTTTAAATGGTTCAAGTACAGCAGAATCACCTCCTCTTAAAAAAAAAAAAAAATAATTTTGACAAACTTTATAGCAATCTGAAAAGGTAGCAAGTGAGAATTACTTATGAAAAATAAAAACATGTACAATTGTATCTTCAAGAATTTTCGTGGACCAATCAAATTAAAGTATCCACATTTTCTAACAAAAATTAACTGAGAAAGGACAGCATGAAAATATTCTAATGCAGTGCTGCCCAACAGAACTTTCTGTGATGATGGAAATGTTCCATTAGCTCTGTGTTGTCTAATACAGAATCTACTCGTCACATAAATACAATGTGGCTAATGCTATTGAGGAACTGAATTTTTCATATAAATAGCCACATGTGCCAGTGGTTACTAACTGAACAATACAGTTCTAATGCCTCATGGGTCAAAACCAGCGGTCTCCTCGAGGACCTTCTCTCATCACTGCTGGGGGTGCAGAGGACTGGGGGTGGAGAGGGGAAGCTCTGAACAGATTTCGCCACTTGAACAAGTTCTGAAGCTCTCCACAGCTTCTGGAGGCAGGGGGTGAGGAAAGGACTCTGGGAGAGACCTGAGTATGGCCTTGAACTCCCGGCTAATGCAAATGGGAGTAAAAGGGCTAGGATTTGGCTCACTCAGATGGGAGGAGGCCTGCGGTGCCACGCACAGGATCTGAGGCTTGGGCCATCTGTGCATGGAAACCATCGCTGGGGCTGGAGGGGATGTGGAGGTGCTCATTTCCGGACAGGGTTTCCAGGGCTAAAAGAGGATTTGGAGGTGGAGGGAGGACATGAGGGCCCTTTCTGGCCGCCTGGAGGCTGGACAGGCCCTTTCTTTTTGGGGATTAAGGTCTTGTTCTTGCTCTTGAACACTTTGCTGGGATCCAGCTTGTTCACGAAGGAGTTGGTCTCTTCTGCGAGTAGGTCTGTGTTGTAGGTGATGGGTTTATACATGTTGAACCATTGCTGTAAGGCAGAATTGGGAGAGTGGTCACAATGCAAAGGAGATACGCCACTGTTTGTGCTCTTTAGTAGGAATCCAGGGGCAGAGAGCAGGGGAGATGGGGCAAAGAGAGCAAAGGGTTTTATGAAAAACTGTCTTGAAAATCTGTTAGCACTTCCTTGAAGTGAAAGTGATGGCATACACATTGCTTTATGAGGTCTCATAACTTGTACAATAAATGCAGCACGAGGACTAAGAATGTGAGTAAACATCCTTCCTTCTGATCTAGTGAGTTTTGAGCATGGGATGTTAGGTCCCAGATCATCAGTGTCTTTCTCACTATTCTGTCCTCAAACCAGCCACTGCCTTTCAGGTAGACTGGGCAGTGCCTTCCTCAAGGGGAGGGTGCACAACAGAGGACAGTGACAGGCCTTGGCTGAAGGGAGGGCCTGTGCTGGTGCTGTCTTCCCCTTCTGGGCAAAGAGCATCGCATTTACTGATGTTACAATGCTGAGTGGATGATGTTGTCATGCGACATTTGAGTAAAGTGGGGCCCACCAGATGAATAGATACATGGAGCTGAATCCCTCACTTATTGCCACCCAGCCTAAGTTCTTCCGGGCACACCAGGCAGCATAGGAACCTTGCCTAGCGACTGTATGTTTGAACTGTTGCCCAGATGTGTTATATAAATGATGCACATCCATACAGTGGAATATTCTGTATCACTAGAAAGGACCGCTTGGTATGTACTGGTAGGAAATGAGCTCCAAGATGGGATGTTAAGTGAGAAGAAGGTGCAGAATGATGGGAAAGGTATATTATTGCACTCATGATTTAGAAAAAAAGGAACCAAAAATAAAATGCATGCATACATGCTTTCTATGCAATAAAGCGCCTTGTGAAAGGCACAAGAAAAGGGAAACAGTGGCTGCCTCTGGGGAAGGCTGGGAGGCTGGAGAATCTGGGAGGAAGAGGCTGACTTTCCACTCTTCCTGTATCCACGTTCTATCCAAAACCATCAACCAGACCTAAGCCCTCAATAAAATTAATTATAAAGAAAACTTCCAGTGATTCTGAGGATCCGCCAAGTTTGGGAATCACTTAGTTCAGTGTACAGAGAGACTGTCTACCTACACTGGAATCACCTGCCTTGCCTAAGGGAAATGCAGGTTCTTAGGCTCTGTCCCAGGTCTTCTGGGAAGGAGGGAGCCCTTACCTTGGCCTGCGGGCTAATGCCGTAGCTGGTGAAGGCATACTGCCACTGTGGCAGGCCCAGGTGCGTGATGAGCAGGCGATAGTAAGCAGTAAAGGTATCCGTGAGAAAATGCCAGTATAATGCTCTGTCCAGGAACCAAATCTCGGCGTCCTGCGCCAATGCTGAAATAGCAGACAGAAAAAAAGAAATGAATGGATGGTGTAATGCTTTTCTCCTTTTATCTGTAAAGCCAATATACTCTTATGGTTAAAAAAATTCCAATAACTGGAAGGATGTAAAATTAAAGTTCCCTTCCCTCTTCCAACCTCCCAGGCCTATTCTCCAGGGGACACTGTTAGGGGTTTCATTGTTTTTTTTTTTTTTTTTTTTTTTTTTTTTTTTTTTTTTTTTTTTTTTTTTTTTTTTTTTTTTTTTTTTTTTTTTTTTGACAGATTCCTGATCTGTCAGCCGACTGCCCTGTGTGCCAGGCACTGGCCGTCTGTGCACTCAGGCTCTCCACTCAGCAACCCCTGCTCCAGTGGGGACATACTGTAATCCCAGCTTTCCTGATGGAAGCAGACTCTGAATGGCTCTGGTCTTCCGAAGAGGTCTTGGAGCCTGAGGGGCTGTAAGCAGCACTGTGGAGGAGCCCAGACCAGCTCCCCATCCTGGATCCCACCTGTGCTGTTGCGCGAGGTCCCAGCTGAACTGAAGCAGGCACTGTCACACCAGCTCCCACCCCATTCACTTCTGACACTCCATCCTTCCTACGGCAGAGAGATAATCTAGTGCATCTCCTGTCTAGTGGACTTAATGTCTCCCTAAGTGGCCCCAACTCTCCAGTCCCTTCCTCTCCCAAGACTGCCTGTGGTCACATACACTTGCATCTCAATTCTGCCATTCTTCTACTGAACAATCTTGACTTCCCATTGTCAGGTCCAAACTTCTTCCAAGCTCTACATGAAGAGGAACAAGTGACCTGTGGCTTCATCTCCTCCCTATCCACAAGATCAACCAGGTTGCCCAATGAACTGAAATCATGTGTCATTCCTTCCAAATTAGTTGCACTTTCCTATGGCACAGCTTTACCGTGTCTCTTTGTTTGCATGCTCCCTTTACCTCACAACCCCTCCTATATTACCTCTTCCCATAACCCAAGATGTGGATGAAAGGCAACTTTGCAAAGATGGTCCCTCTCTTCTCCAGGGGAAAAATCCTGGTGTCTATCTTCTCACTCGTACTAGGCAGAGAGCTACCTGAAGAGGGCTCGGCCTTATCCACAGTCCCTAAGCCAGGGCCTGAACAGCAGCTGGGGCTAGGGGTGGGGGTAGGTAATAGCTGTTCCAACAGGGGCCGGAGGCTTTTACTATGGATTTCTCATCTGAGGTCTTTAGCTTGAGGTTTACTAATTGAGATTTTTAGTGCTGTCAACTTGCCTATGTATAGAAGTATACTAGAAAGATAATGCTTTTCCTGGATGCTTTGCTAATGCGTGAGCCTGCTGAAGGAGTCATAAACAGAATGACTATTTCTTTCACTTTTTACTTGCTTTGTATCCCATCCCCCCTATTTTGTAGTAGCTTACAAACGATAGTTTAAAAAGACTCTAAGTGATTGGCCTAGAAGGAGACGTTCAGGGAGGACCAAAGATGCTTTCTGGGTCTTGGCACCTCCACGAGACCCAGTGGCATCTCCTGAGTCCAGAGAGGAGTGCGCCTTTTGTGTGAGGACTGGGGAGCCGGGTCATCCGTGCCACGCCCAACTGCAGGTCCCAGTGTCCCTGATTCTTACCTGGCTTTCCTCTTTTGTAGACAAGGCAAACCTTCCCATTTCCATTGCAAGGATCCAGCTCAAATATCACACTTCGAGAATCAAAGTGAGGCTTCTCTGGCTGGTTGTCACTGGCTGCAAATCCAGAAGTTAATGGTCATGTTCAAATATAGTCAACTCAAATATATACTTACTTGTCCAGCTTTGCTAGAGTGAAGAGGGGAAAAAAAAGAAACAGGGAAAAAGCCTTATCTCAGGCATAGTCTTTTCTAAAAAATATTTTGAGAGAAAGAAAGCAGGTGTGCACATGGGGAGAGGGGCAGTGAGAGAGGGAGAGAGAGAACCCCAAGCAGGCTCTGCATTGACAGAGAAGGGCCTAATGTGGGGATTGACAAACCAGGGAGATTATGACCTGAGCTGAAATCAAGAGTCAGGTGCTTAACGACTGAGCCACCCAGGCGCTCCTCTCAGACATATTCTTAACTTTGGTTTCCAATGTGGGCCAAATGAATTCTATACTCTAAATGCCCAGGGTCTTATCCATGGTCCAAGCCTCCTGTCTGGACTTCTCTATCACCAAAAGACAGTGTCACACAATCTGGGGCAAGGTGGCGCAAAGAAAACAACCAGAACTTGTTGAGAGTGGGAACACATAAAGGATAAGTAATCTGGCCTGAGGTCCACACACTTCTTTTTCCCAGATAACTGCTTTCTCCTCATTTATAGCTTTTTTAAAAAAAATTTAAACTTAAAAAAAACAAAAAAAAAATTAATTTTAGAGCGAGCAAGTGCATGTGAGCAAGGAAAAGGGGCAAAATTTAAAAAAATTTTTTTCAAAGGTTATTTATTTTTGGGGCGCCTGGGTGGCTTAGTCGGTTAAGCGCCCAACTTTCGCTTAGGTCATGATCTCGCGGTTCATGGGTTTGGGCCCTGCGTCGGGCTGTGTGCTGACTGCCAGCTCGGAGCCTGGAGCCTGTTTCAGAGTCTGTATCTTCCTCTCTCTCTGACCCTCCCCTGCTCACGCTGTCTCTCTCTCTCTCTTTCTCTCCTAGAAATAATAAAAATATATATTAAAAAAACAAAGTTTATTTATTTTGAAAGAGAACGAGCAAGCTGGGAGTAGCAGAGGGGGAGAGAAAGAATCTCAAGCAGGCTCTGGGCAGTCAGCTCAGAGCCCAATGTGGGACTTGAGCTCATGAACCGTGAGATTATGACCTGAGCTGAAATCAAGAGTTGGATGCTCAACCGATTAAACCACCCAGGTGCCCCACTATGATCTTTTGATTAGAATCCCCTTTCCTCTAAAATGCATGTTTATAATATTTAATATTAATTACTTTATAATTAATGCTGTCTGGCTCAATTAGAAATACTATTTTTTTTTTTACTTATAGCCATACATATAATTTTATACATTTACATTTCTAACTAAATTTTCTTTTCAATTTTAATGTTTTTTTTATTTCTGAGAGAGAGAGAGAGACAGCATGAGCAGGGGAGGGTCAGAGAGAGAGGGAGACACAGAATCTGAAACAGGCTCCAGGCTCTAAGCTGGCTGTCAGCACAGAGCCTGATGTGGGGCTCAAGCCCACAAACTGTGAGATCATGACCTGAGCCAGTCGGATGCTTAACCAACTGAGACACCCAGGCACCCCTATAAAAAAAAATTAAACATGGCTTTCCCCTCCTGTGGAGGTTATACTTTCATACTCTTCTTGATCAATTCATGGAGTATAAGTTCTGCCTGGCTTCCTCTCTCTATGCTATAGACTGGAAAACTCTCTTGAAGTCATAAGCTAAGGTTCTCCTTCTTTATTTCCATCTTTCAGGCTCATTGTCCTCCACTGCCTGATGGTTGGTGTCTTGAAATCTATTTCTACATATTTACACATCTTCAGGGTAGAGGATGAATCAGGTCTGTTACTCCATCTTGGGTGAAATCCAAAGTCCAGACTGTAGGGCCCCACCAAGTTTCAGCAGCCCTGACTGATGACGACTGGGATCTGCCCTCAGGAGAAAAGTAATAAAAATAGGGGAGTCACTCAGTGTGGCTCCCTTCTGCTATTTATAGATGCCACTCCAGTTTCTGCTAATCTTTTTAGGTAATTGTTTTTAAAGCCTTCCCAGAGGAGGAGCTTCTTCTGGGTGGTTGAGCGTCTGACTTTGGCTCAGGTCATGATCTCCTGGTTCATGAATTTGAGCCCTGCACCAGGCTCACTGCTGTCTGCACGGAAACCTGCTTTGGATCCTCTGTTCTCCTCTCTTCGTGCCCACTCCTGCTTGTGCTCTCTCTCAAAAAATAACACCCCCCCCACATTTTTTTTTAAAAAAGACAGGTGCCCGGCTGGCTCGGTTGTTTGAGCATCTGACTTTGGCTCAGGTCATGATCTCACAGTCTGTGAGTTCAAACCCCATGCCGGGCTCTGTGCTGACAGCTCAGAGCCTGGAGCCTGCTTCTGATTGTGTGTCTCCTCCTCTCTCGTGTTTTGTCTCTCTCTCAAAAATAAACATTAAAGAAAAACAAAAAGAAAAAGCTTTCGCGGAGTAGTCTTGATCTGGTAAAAGGTACTCTGCCATTACCAGAAGGTCAATATTTGAATCTTGCTTTCTTTTTTGCCAAATACATAGTGTCCATATTTTCAGTTCCTCACAGAAATTTTAGTTCGGTTTTATCCCCATGTGTGCATTAGCATATTGTTGTGCCCAATTATTTCACTCTCGGGAGGACCAGTGGATCTCTTTTTTGTTACCTGTTGTTTGTGCTGGTTGTTGTTCTTGGCATTATGTTTCTTCAAGTGCCTGGTTATTTTTTAGAAGGAATTAGTTTTTGACAAATTATTTACAAAAACAGTTTGAGGTCTAAGATAATGTTATCTTCCTCTAGGGTGGAATTTTCTTTTTATATACAAGCTTTACTAAGATATAATTCATGTACCATACCACTTACTCATTTAAAGTATACAATTCAATGGTTTTTAGTATATTTACAGTTATTCAACCATTAAGACAATCCATTTAAAACATTTCTCTAGAGTGAATTTGTTTGTTTCTGCTAGGCCCCTGAGGAGATCAGTAATCTGGAATCAATTGAGTCTAGTTTTGGGATTTAACATGTTCTGGGACACACAGATGACTTACACCTGAGCTTCAGTCCATGTGAAAAATGGTTCCTTTCCATTCACTCAGTTTCCTGAGGTACTGCTCTTCATGGTGCCAACCCAAAAAGCAGGGTAGTTTTTATGGTTGCCAACTTTTCTAAGTCTTGGACTCTGTTTAATTCCCCTGGCTTCAAAATGGGTCAAATTCAGAGTTTTCCAGCATCCACACAGCCTGTTTTGAAAAGGGCAATGCACCCCAGGCAAAAGCAACTCCAAATGCTGCATCTCTTCCCTGGATTTCTGTCTTCTGGATGTTGATCTGAAATTACCTCATCCTCTTGTTAGCTCTTTGACAAACGTTTTAGGGAGATGGTTTTTGTATTTTGGTCTGACTTCTCAGCTGTCTTTAGCAGGAAGGCTGCTGTGAATTACCTGTCCGCCATTACCAGAAGAGGAAGTCTCTTCATCAGTTTAGCTTGGGTCCTAAAAATAACAGAGATGAGCTTTGCTTTTTATATCAACAGTGTTTGGTTTTCAAAAGGGAAATTTAGGGGTGCCTGGCTGACTCAGTTGGTTAAGTATCTGACTTTGGCTCAGGTCATGATCTCACAGTTCGTGAGTTCAAGCCCTGTGTTGGGCTCTGTGCTAACAGCTCAGAGCCCGGAGCCTGCTTCAGATTCTGTGTCTCCCTCTCTCTCTCTGCTCCCCTCCTCACCCCTGCTTGTGCCGTCTCTTTCTCTCGCAAATAAATGAACATTTTAAAAAAAGGAAATTTAATCCCAGTATATTTAATATAGTGATTGATCTGTCTTTCATTTCTCTTAATGTTTTATTTCCTAATTTGTTTCTTCTTTTCCCTTATTTTTACTCACGTGATTCAATATTAGGTTAGAAATATTAATGTACGTTTTTATTTCTATAATAGTTACCTTCCTTTTTTTCATTTGTTTGCATGATTAGATTCATAGGACTCCACCCTTATTTGAAAACAACAGACCATTATCTCCCCTAACCAAGTGTGGTATACAGAATTCCAAGATTCCTGCTCCTTAATAAACGGATCTTTCATGACTTCCTGCCCTTGAGTATAGTCAGGACCTGTGACTATGATGTTGTAGCCTTTCCCTTGATTAGGTTACATTAGAGGAGACTGCTGTAGCAGAGTGGAGAGACCTTTTCCTGCTAGCTGAGAAGTAAACTGCCATTTTGAGAAGGTCATGTGGCTATAATCTGAGGGCAGCCCAACAGAGGTGAGAGTGATCCCTGGCTAACAGCCAGCTACAAACAGAGACCTGAGTCCAACAACTACAATAAACTGAGTAAGGCCAACCACTAGTGAGCTTGGAAGAAGCCTCTGTGCCTCAAATGAGATCACAGCACCAGCCGACACCTTGATTTTAGCCTGGTAAGACCCGAAGTAGAGAACTCTACTTATGTGTAGCTGAATTCTTGACTCATGAAACTGTTAGATAATACTCTATTATACAAAAATAGAAAATTCAGGGGCGCCTGGGTGGCTTAGTCGGTTAAGCGTCCGACTTTCGCTTGGGTCATGATCTCACGGTTCGTGGGTTTGAGCCCCGCATCGGGCTCTGTGCTGACTGCCAGCTCAGAGCCTGGAGCCTGTTTCAGAGTCTGTGACTCCCTCTCTCTCTGACCCTCCCCTGCTCACGCTGTCTCTCTCTCTCCTAGAAATAAATAAAAAAACATTAAAAGAAATAGAAAATTCAAACATTAAGACACTCTTATTTTCCCCAGCAAGGTATACTATTTCTTCCCTATAGTAGGAGGAGACCTACTTTCTCCTTCTTTTCCTCCTTTGTCCCAGATTTTCTACTAGTAAGGACCCCAGCAACATTCTCTGTATTAATTGCTGGGCTGCTATAACCAAGTACCAAAAGTGAGTGGCTTGAACAACAGATATTTGTAGTCTCACAATTCTGGAGGCTACATGTTCAAGATTAAGGTGTTGGCAGAGTTGGTTCCTTTTAATGGCTATGGGGGAAGAATCTGTTCCATGCTTCTTTCCTAGCTGAT